AGTGTGCATCTTTCACTTGAGCTGAAAACATTCGGCAAAACGAAACGAGACAAAACGAGTGCGGTCACTAACCTGATTCAAAAGCACTTCTAACATTTGAGGCAGACCGAAAAATACCAAGATCAAATGACACTTTTTCAAACAGGCGCAGAATGCTGTCCGAAATCAGAAAATACACGGATCTGTGTTGCGGAGGGGTGGCACGGGTCTGTGTTGCGCGGAGATGTGGTGGAATTTGCTGAGCAACAAAGTCCCTTGAAGCGCCTGTTGCGATGTTGTCCGTCCGTGCTGAGGCGCAAGACCTCCGAAGGCCGAGGTTTGTGACAGCGGATGCAATCTGCGCAAAGAGACACGCAACCAAAAAAAGCAATTCATTGGTCTTGACACCTTTTATTAAGATGTAGCCACAATCATCTTCAAATCCAAGCATTGGAAAGAATGGTGTTTGCTTGCAAAAGTTTTTTAAAAAAAAACCTGATTTGACGCTCGCACAGACTCAGAGAGCAAAAAGAAATTGAAGTAGAAGTAGAGGCGCAACTTCCGGCAGCGAAAAGTGCAGTTCGGACTGTTTGAGGGGACGTAACAGCCGTTCCAGCAACAGCAAATGCAACCAGAAGCAAGGCAGAGGCAAGAAATGTTACAAATGGGTCTCTACTAAAAGAGCAAAAAAAATCTGGCAAGAGCCAGGTGAGCCCATGTCGTGCATGAGGGGTTTTGGAGTTAAGCACCGTGCACAAATTCCGAACCGTCAGCCGCACCTCTCGATACCATAACTCGACACAGCTCAAGAAGTCCTGTTCAGATCTGGTGGAGATGCCTTCCAGAAAATTCCGCCGCTCTTGTATGATCTGTTCCGGCCGACCTTCTCGATACCAGAACTCTGCATGGCATGGCTTGATCTGCTCTGTTCAGAGATGCTAGAGTCACCTCTGGAAAATTCCCTGTCTTTGTACGATCTCAAAGCTGCACAGTTATGGGGCTGTCGGGCGACCCCATTTTAAGGCCCGCAAAACACAAGCAATTCTGGCTTCGCCACCACGGCACGACCGTTTCATCCTGTCATCGATTCCATGTTTCCTGTCTTTGGACTACTGGAGTTCACTAACCCGCTGAGGTTCGGGCTCCATCGCCTCCGTGACCACAGAGGAGGGGCCCAAGAGGCTCTTCAGTGCCCTCCGCCTCTCTCTTGTGTAGCAGGGTGTTGGGCCCACAATCGATCAGCTAGAAGGAAGCTGATTCAAAATCGAAAGGGTGTTGAGCCTACAGCCTCGGGCCAAAAACGAAAGATCGATGGGGCTCAGGGCCGTAGGACGCAACGATCTTCGGCCTTTTAGCCCCAAAATTTTCCTCGCAATCGGAGCTCAACGATTGTGGACTCTCTCGCTACCCTCACTCTCTCACTCCGCTCTCTCCGCTCACTCGCTCGCTCCGCTCCCTCGTTCGCTCCGCTCGCTCCGTGAGCTCGTTCGCTCCGCTCGGGTCCACAATCGTTGAGCTCCGATTCGCTCGTCCTAAATTTTGGGGCTAAAAGGCCGAAGATCGTTGCGTCCTACGGCCCTGAGCCCCATCGATCTTTCGTTTTTGGCCCGAGGCTGTAGGCTCAACACCCTTTCGATTTTGAATCAGCTTCCTTCTAGCTGATCGATTGTGGGCCCAACACCCTGCTACACAAGAGAGAGGCCGCAGCTTTTTCGCGTTTTCTGGGCTATGCGAGATACTCTGCGTGGCTACTCTTTGTGGCTACTCTTTGTGGCTACTCGGTGTGGCTACTCGGTGTGGCTACTCGGTGTGGCTACTCGGTGTGGCTACTCGGTGTGGCTACTCTCTGTGGCTACTCTCTGTGGCTACTCTTTGTGGCTACTCGGTGTGGCTACTCCGCGTGGCTACTCGGTGTGGCTACTCGGTGTGGCTACTCCGCGTGGCTACTCGGTGTGGCTACTCTGCGTGGCTACTCCGCGTGGCTACTCCGCGTGGCTACTCTGTGTGGCTACTCCGCGTGGCTACTCCGCGTGGCTACTCGGTGTGGCTACTCTGTGTGGCTACTCCGCGTGGCTACTCCGCGTGGCTACTCTGTGTGGCTACTCGGTGTGGCTACTCGGTGTGGCTACTCTGTGTGGCTACTCCGCGTGGCTACTCGGTGTGGCTACTCTGTGTGGCCGTGGCCGTTGTCGTCGTCGCTGGGGGGACCTGGTGCCCTCGCTCGGTGCCCGCACGGTGCCCTCATGCCCTCACTGCCCCCCCCCGAAAGTGCCCTGGCAAGACGCTGCAGCCGACTTTTTTTGTATCTCCGAGCCATGCTTTCGCTCAAAGGACAGTGGGGTGGCCCTCAAGAGACTAAGTCACATGCGAAATGTGCCTCCGCGAGCAATCGTATATGAGACTAACCTAAACCCCAAACCCTAAACCTCACATACTATGGTCTCTACCTGTCCTTTGGTACTGTTACTCGTGTCTCCTACATGGGTGTTTACATGTTCATGGCGGTGCGACAAGGCTGGCGCCAAGGAGCAAGCACTACCACGGTCCGTTGCAGACTCGTCTACCTGTTTGATTCCTCGTTTGAGTTAGCTGTGCCACCGTTGTTATGTGCCTGTGAGTCTGCAGCATGAGAAGGGCTGCGAAAGTGCTGCGGTTGGAAGTGTTAGATTCGCAAAGCGCGGATTCTTCTTTCCTGTTGCAGCTTCCTGCTTAGGCCGGGGCCACCAACATCACGGCCGTGAGAGAGGCAGCCGAGAAGGACAACGTGTCGGCGCTTGCAGCGCTCCGCAAGGCCCAGGTCCCAGGTGTCTTAAAGCGGTGTTTGCAGCATGAGAAGGGCTGCGAAAGTGCTGCGGTTGGAAGTGTTAGATTCGCAAAGCGCGGATTCTTCTTTCCTGTTGCAGCCAGCTTCCCAAGCCTTGTAATCCCTTCCCCCTAATATTAAAACGCCCCCCCCTAAAGTAAAAATTAGATTTCGGGAGTCATTTTTTGAATTAGGCGGGTTTCTGGGCATCCGGGTATGAGTCGAAATGATTGAATTGAGTGTATTTAAGCAGTACTGATCCAGACAGTCAGACAGTCAGAACAACGGCCGCCTCTTGCGCTGCCGTTCCGGCTGTAGAGCAGACAGTCAGGATTGCGTCTGAAGTGGCAGGTGTTTCGCAAAGCTGTTTGGGAGACAAATCCGGGCGATTTAGGGAACTTTATACCTTATTTTGGGTGCTTATAATTAGGATCCTACTATTTAGGGTACTTTATACCGTATTTTGGGGCTTATTCAGCCCTCAACATGAATCCCGCAGAGCCGCTCGACTTGGCAGGGCTTCCTGAGAAGCAACCTGCCGCGAAGCGTCGAAGTGCATCTGGTGATCAGGGGTCTCACTGTCTCACACATTCCACGCCGGGCGGGCTGTGGTGCCGCGGATCTTGTAGCCCACGACTCCTTCTCCCACCTTCCACCGAACACAAACTCCGGCTAACACTGCCAGTCTTGGGCGCCTTTTCGCCCAGCTCCTCGGCAACGCGCTTCGCCACGGTGATGGCGGCAATCCGCCGAGGCCTCAAGCGACGGCGCCATGGAGCACAGGCAGACGCTGTAGGGATCGTCTCCGAACGAGTTGCGGACTGCGTGACGACGATCCGCACCACCCGGCGATTGTCTGTTCCCTGGTGCAACGCTGCGAAAAAGCTCCACGCCTGGCCTTTGGAAGCGTCCTTGTTTGCCACTTACACATCCCCTTCAACGAGAGTAAAACACTTGCACACACTTGCCCCTGCTCGAAACCACCTTGTTCGAATCATCGGCGAATCAGAACCGGTCGTCTGCATAAACCAAACAAAACTGTGCTTCTAGCAACTGTACCCTCCGACAGCAGCCGTTTGCACCGTGCCTTGCCATTCTTGGCTTCTGCCTGCATGCGGAGTGCTGCCTGGCAGACAACTCGGGTCAACGGCTGAGTACTTTGTGGTACTTCAGCAGGCACGCTGACACCTGATGCAAAAAGAACCCCACCTCCAAGATGTACTGCGGCACCTGCACTTTTAGGAATCTAGCAGCTGGCAGCTGGAATGTATCAAAGTCATTGCCAGTTGCAGCACGACAACGGCAACGGACTTATTCGGCTTGGGGCTTAAGGCCTTAGGATTCATCCGCCCGCTTTGTGGAAATGTCGGGCTGCCATCTGTGCCTGTGTAGTTTTGCCGCATCCCGTCTCGCCCTGAATGAGCCTGGCATCGTAACGAGGCAGACATTGCGATTCACGCAGCGCAGTCGTGGCAGAAACTCTCACCAACAGAATGCACATCACTCGTTGATGTTTGGCAAGTGCATCCGACCGGGTGCCCGGGCACGATTTGGTTGTCCCTGATGAGCTCCGTGATTTCAGTCTGCAAGAAGACAGGGGCAACCAGACTGTAAGCTTAGCATGAAAACGGCTTCAAGGAAGAATGATGCAGTGTGATCCTTGAGGATCAAACTGCTGGCCTTGTGCTGAGCAATCGGGAGCTTGTTGGTCATAACACGCCTGAAGACATAGGGGTCCTCGACAGCGACTGTCTTGAAGGATAGCTGCTTGTCAAAACGCACCCGACCTCGTCGATGTTTTCTGGTCCGAACCAGGCCTTCCCAGATCTTCCGACCGAAACCAAAATTTGGACTGGGCCCGAACCTTCATGGTCGTGTAATCCCCTCTGCGCTGCCGGACCACCTTACGACAGGCTATTGCCAGGTGTCTCTCCAGATCGGATCGATCAGTCAGTCAGCTTTTGAAGCGTTCAGGCTGTGCATGCGGCATCCTCGTTGTTCGTCGATGTGGTCCCGTAAGCAGCATTGGCGGAGGCCTGCGGTGGCCCACGGAACTGCAACGGCAATGGCCATGCAGGTCTCAGATGCTGCACACTTGCATCCTCCTTCAAGTGAGCTCAAGTCAATCTCCAGGCGAGCTTACAAAACGCAGCCCCCGCACCTTCAAGCTGACTACCTTGAGAGTCATGGATGCTTCCAAAACAGATGTACTGAGAGGCTACTTCCAGCTCTCATCCAAGGCCCCTGCAGCTGTCTGCAAGTTTCGCAGACCTGCCAAGTCGTCCACTCCAACACCAGTTAAGGACGCCACATCGGTACCCTGCGACACATCCGAGATTGCACCTTCTTTCTACACAGCTCCTGCCGATCTTCGTCCGTTGACGATGTTGCAGTGAAACATATCATGAAACTGAAACCCTGCGAAGAAATTCAAGACACGCCCTTCTCCATGCGCAGCCACTGAATTTTCGTGCACGCTGTGGGAGGGAAGCTCGAAGGGCTGGTTTCAGTCGTTTTGAAGCCCGCCTTGCAGTAACATTTGATTGCGGCCTCGTTCGTCTCCAATACCGAGAGCTTGACCGTGGAGTGGTCGGAGCCCTTGTTTCTCGCATTTGTCTCTGCCGCTTGGAGCAACAGACCACCCAAACCTTTCCCTTGATGTGATCGATCGACTTTGCAATGCCCAATGTCCAGCACGTCAGTTGTAAAAGAGGCAAAAACGTATCCTGCTATAGTGTTTGTGCTCGCCGACACCGCAGCCAATGTGAACTGATTTGTGCATTTGCCACTTGCCAGATTCTCAATGGCTGCCAGCCGGTTGTTCGTTAAGACCAGTGGGACACCGACTAAGCTTGAAGCATCTTTCAACTGTAACTCTCCATACCAAGGATGCCCCGTGTGCAGATGGGCATGGTCGCCCGCAAATTCCCTTTCGGAGCGTCGTAGGCGCTTCGCACAGTTGTGGACAGCTGCACATACATAGTACTCGTCGTTCTCGGCTACGATGTCGACGCTAGCCTTCTCGAGGACGGGCTCCTTCTCGTCCTGTGGCTCCTCCTCCTCGTCCTGCCCCCACTCCCACTTGGTCAATAGAGATCTTGCGGAGGCACCCGGGCATGAGACATCTGGCGAGTCAGCTGCTTTCCGCTTTCGTGTCGTCTGGAGCATGTCTGGCTGGGAGTCGGACAACATGTTCCGTGGGCTGAGGCCAGCGGTCGAAACTACGTCTAGGGATGCTCCCCGTTCTATAAGCAGGCTCGTTATCTCCTTGTGTCCATGCCTAACTGCGTAAAAAATTGGCGTTTCTTTGATGTTATCCTGGAAGTTCGGCTCGAACCCCAGATTCAGCAAAAATGTCACCATTGTGGCATTCCCTCTCGATGCAGCATAGAAGAGTGGAGTCTGCTGGTGCTTGTCTGTCTCTGCCAGATCTACCCCCATCTTTACACACAGCTTCGCCAGCTGTTCGGACCCAGGGCGTACTCGGGCTGCCGCGAAGAAGAGAAAGTTCTGCTCCAGAGAGGAATGCTTCCACTCTATTTTGGCTCCCTCCAGAGCCTTCCGAGCTTCGGAAAACGCTCCATCCCTGACTTTAAAGAAAAGCCGATCCCGATTCACGGGCTTCATGCTAACTTCATGTGAACATTCCTTGAGCCTGAGCTTCGATTGGGGACTTCACCCGGACCGTCTGGGGGCAGTGCATTCCCTCCGCATGGAAATCCCTTGTGCAACCCGTGTATTCAGAGATCCAAGGAGCTTCCCAGCGCTGTACGGCTCATAACGTCTCACCGGGGACCCCGCTGTCCTCCGGGCTGGGATTCAGGTCTACGTTCGGTAGCGGATCCTGGCAACGCAAGAAACTCTGAGGACCTCTTCGTGCCGGGCCTGGCCCCGTCCTCGCGGAGCCCTCGCTGGACTCGTTCGAGGACCGAACCTCAGCACTCAGCTGAACCAGGCTTCGGTGGTTCTGGGCTTACCTTTGTAGGCCCGCCAGTGAGCTGAACAAGGCCGGGACGGTAGACGTGCTCGTGATCAGAGTCCTGCGAAGACAGTGAAGCATTGAATGGCACAGTGCTTTGTCGTCGGCCGGTGACGTTCTCCCTTTTGTTGACTTTCGAGGTTTAAAAGGACGAAGGAAAGTTGGCATGCGGTTTATTTTGGGCGGCTCTGTGCAACTCTCACGGAGCAACTCCAAGGGAAGTCAAGTCTGTGAAGAAATCTGATCGGAGCTATCTGTGAAAAGCGTCTTGCATGTTGGCAGACTCACTACTAGCAGTTTACTCACTTGCGGTCTACGGCCAGTCTGTGAGCCCGTAGGTACGAGTAAAGAACTGGACATGCTCCTCTGGGGATCATATGTACTGTTGACTTTTTTCAAAATGTACGAATGTGCTCGCAGCAGTGCTTCCTCAAGCATGATGTTTCGACACGAAGCTGTCAAATGCTGTTGATGGCGCTAGTCTTCTCTCACGAAAAGCTCGGGTTGAGATTAGAAATATCCAGTCCTAGCTGCACCGCGAAAGCATAACGAGGGACGCCCGATCACCGGTCCTGCTGCGCTTTCCACAGCTGAGGCTCCTGACTCAAGAAGTACCTCCAAGCAGTGACCATGATTGTCCCAGAGCGGCTCTTTGGATTGTAACCAAAATCCAAGGCATTTGGCTGCGCACTGGACGTATGACGGAGGCAGGTTGTGATTGAAGGTTAGCGCTGCAATGGCTTTGGCGACGCTCTCCTGTTGCCCAGATCCCTCGGCGAACTCTACGACATGATTGCGCGGTCCTCCACCGCAGCGGAGTCGAACTCCTTCTCCCCTGCCTGAACTATTTGCCTTGCTCTCGGGCTTGGGGTCGCTCCGCTCGAGCAGGACTGTCGGGTGATCCGCGACCTGCGCCGCACACACTCTCCAGACCCTGAGTGAGAAAGCCGGGGCCGAGGCCTGTTCTCAATAAACCTAGGGACCTAGACCCGTGAGCCTTACATCCTAGACCCTGAACGGTACACCCCAAACCCTAAAACGGCGACTGCAGCTTGCCTTGGATGTCGCTTGCCGCTCCTGGTGGTGGGCCTGCTGTTCTGGAGGGTTTAGGGGATGGCATTCCGGCGCAAGTCCTCAACCTGCTGACAAGCCGCAACCCACTGCAACGGCATTCAAACCAGAGGCAAGGATTTGCATCCCTAAGGTGAGGGTTTTGCATATTTTCGAGGCTTCCGAAAGGAGAATGTGTGCTTTCGGACGCCATCCAGCCCCTGCCACGCCTTCGCCTGAGGCGTGCTTCTACCTCAGTACACAGACACTTGTGGCATGATGCTCCTCATCAACAAAAACTGTTCCAATAACAAAAAGAACAGTGATCAGATTGGCAATTGCAAGAATTTTAACACAATCAATCCTATTCATAACACTAATCATATTTGTAGTATTAGTAAACATTGATAATAGAGGGTATAAACAGCAGTAATAATGGTAGCAATGCCAGCATTAATTAATGATCTGCACATCAATATAAATAAGGGAACTCCTGCTAAAGAAATCCAAGATGCTATGGCTGTTTTGGCCGTGATGCGGCGATATGGCGCCGGCTCCCTTTCAAGGGAATTTCGGATGTTGCACGTGCGTGTTGCTTATGCCTGGCAAGACCTCCGAAACTCAATGCATTCTGTTCCCTAAACCCCAAAACCCTAAACCCCAAAACCCCAAACCCCAACCCCTAAACCCAAACCCCAAACCCAAACTCCTAAGCACGCTATACTCTATGCGTGCATGCGCAAGTATCCGGAGCCCACCGGAAAGACCCTGTGGAAAAACTTTACTGGCGCTTTTTGGGGGGTTTAGGGCCTTTAGTGTTCTTTAAGGTTCCTGTAAGGTTTCATTTAAGCCTTCCTTTAAGGTTTCCTTTAAGGGATTTATAGGGTTCTTTAAGGTTCCTCTAAGGGATTCCTTGAAAAGATCTGTAGGGATTTGGGGGTTTAAGGGTTAGGGGTTTGGGGTTTGGGGTTTAGGGTTTAAGAGTTTAGGGGTTTAGGGCTGAGGCTTTGTGCAGAAACTGTGAGTCCAGGCCGTTCTTGCTGTCACGTTTATTCCGAAGCTGAACAGCGTCTCTGTGAGCAGCAGCTCTTCTTCGTAAACTCTGAAACCAGTAAACCCTGAAACCCCAAGCCCCCAAAACCCGAAACCCCTCAAGCCCAGGTAGAACTGATGTCTATCTTCACCCATCTAGACCTTAAGCTGGGTTTTTAAGTAACCGGGGAGAAAAAAGTATACACTTCGATTTCATAATCCCTAAGGGTCCATGTACTCATATAGTATATACATTGGCCTTAAAGTAATCCCTGAGCACGCACAAAAACCGGAGCGGGGCGGGATGAGGACCCCAATGAGGACCCCAATGAGGACCCGAATGAGGACCCCAATGAGGACCCGAATGAGGACCCGAATGAGGACCCGGGGATAGAAGCCTGGTATCGAGGCCTGGGATAGAAGCCAGGTATCGAGGCCGGGGATAGAAGCCTGGTATCGAGGCCGGGGATAGAAGCCAGGTATCGAGGCCGGGGATAGAAGCCTGGTATCGAGGCCTGGGATAGAAGCCAGGTATCGAGGCCGGGTGGTATCGAGGCCGGGGATAGAAGCCCGAGTGAGGACCCGAATGAGGACCCGAATGAGGACCCGAATGAGGACCCGAATGAGGACCCGAATGAGGACCCGAATGAGGACCCGAATGAGGACGAGCCCAGACTCTAGACGACTATTGCAATGGATAGCTGCACACTCCGAGCGAACTTGCACACTCACTCCCCAAAAAAGCCACCCCTTCGGTCCAAAAGCCAAAACTGCCGCGGCCTCGTCTACTACGACGGTGTCGAAGAAGCAGCGAAAACCACGGGCGAGGACCTGGAAGCAAGAAAAGGGCCCGGGGTTCCCGGGAGGGGGCGGGGGAGAGGCAGGGGAATCTACAGTTACGGCGGGGAGGGGAGGAAGGGCAGCACAAGGCACTCCTGACTGCCTCGCAGACCGCAACCCTTGGCGCCCGGCTCGCAGCGAAGACGAAGTCGAAGATGCACCTGGGCCGCGAGAAGGGGCCCGGGGTTTCCGGGAGAAGGGTAGGGGCGCAGGGCACTCTAGAGTTACAGGGCAAGGGACAGCGCAGGGCACTCTTGCACTCGCAGAAACTCACAAACTCCAACCCTTCCAAAAGCAAAGAACCCCCGTCAGGCTCGGCACGGCACGCCAAGACGGTCCGACCTGAACAGAAGGGTAAGGGTCGGCCTCTAGGCTTCCAGAAAGGCCCCATTCAAACCATGCGCTGAAAGCGTCCGACCAAGGCGAGGGCCCACGCTCCCACAGTCCCAAGCCGACCCGCCCGGACCCTCCTACCCTGCACTGCTCCTCGAGGCGCGGCGCGGGTGGCAAAAAACATCACCATGACGTGCAACAAAATCAAGCATCATCTTGTAAAACAAAGCCAGTTTAGGGGCTATAGAGGAAGGGTTTTCGAAGCACGCCACGGAGCCCCGTGGGCTTGAGCCAACTGTACAAGGAGCCCCTGTCGGGCTTGAGCCAAACTGTACACGGAGCCTAGCTGTACACGGAGCCTAGCTCTTTGTGGCTACTCTGCGTGGCTACTCTTTGTGGCTACTCTTTGTGGCTACTCTTTGTGGCTACTCTTTGTGGCTACTCTTTGTGGCTACTCTTTGTGGCTACTCTGCGTGGCTACTCTTTGTGGCCTAACTGTACACGGAGCCTATGCACACGGAGCCTAACTGCACACGAACTGTAGTCGTCGTGTCGTCGCGTCTACCCTACTCTACCCTAGTGGGGCACGCTGAGCCGGGGCCTAGGGCTGATGATCCTCGCTTGCGGGGTGAGGCTCTAGGTTGTGGCACGGCGGTCCCAGCGAGTGGAGGTGGTGCCCGACTGTTCAGGGCTCAATTGGCGGGTTATCAGTAACCGCCAGCCACCGATGAAGCTCGCGCCGGTCGGCGAGGCACCGGGGGGGCGTCCAGGGAATGGGGCGCCTCCGAAGCCTCGTCACCCCTCTCAGTCCCCCTTGGCGGGGGGGCTGTCAGGGAACGGAATGCTGCCCGTTTTTTTGCAGCATCTGTCGCCCCCAGTCGGGGCGTGTGGGGAACGAAATGCTGCCCTTTTTTCTGCAGCTTTCGACCCGCAAAAGCAAGGTCGGAATCCCGACCTTGCTCCAAGAGCTCACATTCAACTCATTCTTTCATCAAAAACTGGCCGCTGTCACGATTAGTCAGATTTGACTAAACCTGACAGTGCCACCGGCGGCAGGCCTCGTTCATTCGCCCAACATCTTGCCGGCCGCCGTTGGAAAAAGAGACCCAGCGTCCGGCAGTGCCGCTTTGTGAAGCAGACCAGCCATTCTGGGGACTTTGAGGGTTATAGGATGAAGCGCAACGCGTTCTTCGCGGAGCTCGCGCCGTCGAAGCGCCTGCGCGCCGCGGGGGGGTTCGAGGCGCTGCCCGACGGGGTGCTGGGGACGGTCGTGGACTTCCTCGTGCCGGTCGCCGAGCGCGACGACCAGTTCTGCCAGCGCCGCCGCATGGCCGAGCGCATGTTCGAGGCGCTCGCGTACAACCACGAATTCATGCCGCTGGCGCGGGACGCGCTCGCGCTGTTGGGGTCCTGCCGGCTGCTCCGCTACGGTCCCCTGTTTGCGCGCACGGTGGTGTTCCACCACATGCTCCACCAAAAGCTCGCCGAAAACTGCCGCTTGCCGCAGCACGAGCTCCGGGCCCTGCAGATCACCGTGGAGAGGATGTCTCCCGCCCAGGCGCGTCGCCACGCCCTGGAGCAGGCGCTGCTGCGCCTCGCCGTCCGGTGCACGACGGCCCGCTACCGCTGCAACCGCCACCTGGCGCGCGGCGCCGGCCTTGACCGGCTCACCGGCCGACCCCTCCGGAGCAAGCTGGAGGACGTCGAGGACGAAGGCAAGATCAAGCAGCTGCTGGTCTAGGCCTCCGGGCCTCGTTCATCCGCCGAGACCGCCGACGCCTCGCCCTAGAAAACTCACACCATGTCTAGTTGGGCACAGCAACGAGAAGCCATCCGCCGAGCGGCCCAGGGCGGCGTCAGAGCGAGGACGAACGCCCAGGGCTCGCAGCGGCTCCCCCTCGCCAACAACCGCCTCCGCGAGGTCCTACTGTCCCGCCCCAACGGCGAGCTCACCAGGGCGGGCCAATTCTACTACGGCCTGGTGGGAGGCCGGCCCCCCTCCAGGCAGTTCGACGAGGAGCAGCCCCTCATCCGCGAGGGGCCCACGGACTACATCCTCCTCCGCTCCGGGCTGAAGAAGCCCGTGCGCTCCCTGCAGCCCGACGGCAACTACCACCTCACCAAGCTGGGCAAAGCCTTCTTCCGCGACAAATACACCGACTTGCTCGCCCACGTCCCCGTCCGCATCACCGGCACCCGCCAAAGGGGCCGCAACGCCGGCCGGCCCTACCAGCGC